CTCGCTCAGCCAGTGAGCGGCCGGTCTGTATGTGGGATCTGAACCCTCGGTGGGAGCACCACCGCACTCCCAAGCGGCGCACTGTAGCAGTGCGCCACCGGGCCGGCCCTGGCATTTCATTCTTACTTGCTCAAATTTATTTTATAACCTGTCCCTTTAAGATCCAGAGGTGTGGAGTACACATAAAGCAAATGTATTTCACAGGTTGGCACCAATCCCACCCATGAAGGGGGAGCCATCATGGCCCAATCATCTTTTAAAGGTCTCATCTCTCAATAATGTTACAATGGCAGTTACATTTCAAAATGAGTTTTGGAGGAGATAAACATTCAAACCATAGCAGCCACGTACATGGTCAAAAATTCTATGGCCATAGGAGAAGGGGAGAATATACACCAGGAGACAGCTTGTGATTTGTGAACCTCACCTATTTATAGGGTCATGGTGGTAATTAAATGAGGCAATGTATCCACTGTTGATTTGTTGCCTAGATGATCTGTCAAATGCTGAGAGGTGTGATCAGGTCCCTCAATATTATCATAGAGCAGTTGCTTCTTCTGTCACTTTGAAATGGGCTTTGTGGAGAGACATCCTCTTCTTTTCTTTATCTCTGCTGGTGACTCTCCCCATGTCAGTGCACTCCAGTGGCCGGTGGACCATCTGTGTGGTGGTTGTGGCGTCTAGCTGCTTTCACAGCAGCCATGGTTATTGTGGCTGTGGTGGTCCACTCACATGGAGGTGATGTTTTTGGCATGCTCCTTGGCCCTGGTAGTATGCCTGGTTGTGGGAGTATCTGGTCCCTGGCTCCATACCTTGGGTCCCCAGGCGAGCCCCGAGGTGCTGGTACAGTGTGCCTGGTTGTGGGAGAGGGTTCTGGTCCCGGGCTCCAGATCCTGGGTGGGCCCCAAGGTGCTGGTGTGGTGTGCCTGGTTGTGGGATGGGGGGTCCAGTCCTCTTCTCTATGCCTCTGGTCCCCAGGCAGGCCCCGAGGCTCTGGTGCAGTGTGCCTGGTTGTGGGAGGGGGAGGGTCTGGTCCCCAGCTCCAAGCCTCATGCCCCCTGGTGGGCCCCAAGGCACTGGTGGTGTGCTTGGGCTGGAAATAATTTTTTGTTCTTTGCTACTTGCTCCGGGGGACACATCAGGAGACCCAGATAAGGAGGTGAAGCTCATTGTCCTGCGTAAGTGTCGCTGGAGCTTTCTCTTTGGCTACCTCACCACTGTAGCAATCTTATATACAGGAAAAAATCAAAAACAGAAATAAAAAGCCTAGGTTATTTTCATTGGACTGTCAGCCTCTCAAGTTCACTTATCAAAGCTAAA